CGTGTGTGTGTGTGTGGTGGGGGGGGAGGGAGAGAGAGGGAAAGTGAAACACAGCCGGCCCGTCTTCGTTTCCGCTCCGCGCGTTGTTCTTGTTTTCTTAATCGGGGTGGTAAATCCTCTTTGATGGACGACAGTCGGAACCGAAGTGCGGTGAGAAAGCCACACGCAGCGCAGGCCGAGGACACACGTCAACGACCAAAGAAAAAAGAAAAACCCACGAAAGAAGAAAGGGGAGGTAGAAGGCAACGCGTATTGGGGGGGTATATCAAGAAGAGGAAACCAAAACGGCGACACCACGCTCTTCTCCCGGCAGTGGCTCTTTTGAATGGCCGCAAACACGCAAAGACTCAAAGCAGTTTCGCATGGGATGTTGCATCTCCGTTTGTTTTCGCCCGATCAAAGCGCGCAAACTGCAAGAGCTGCCTTCTCACCAACGCCCGTATTTCGCACACGTGTGAAAGCGAAGACAGCGAGCACCGAGGGCTCGTCACCGCAACCTGACACAGGCCGACACGCCATTGTCGGTGCGACCCACACACACATTTTCACTCTCCGTTAATGTGTGTTCTTTTCGTTTTCGCAGGTCGAGTCACGAGAACAAAGACGGAGGCGCCTCGCAAGCACATCCTCGGCACTTCCATGTTCCAGCACAGCCACGAGGAGGAGGAAGATCTGCGAAAATGCCGATTTGAAATTGCATTTCGAACGTTCGAAAGGAAAGAAAAACCCAAGGAAGAAAAAAGAAAAATGATCATTCGCGCCAATGGCTGGCAACGCTCCTCCGCTTCATTCTTCTTCGCCTTTGGAATCCATCAACAGACACCAAAAAACAAGGCTGGTCGGAAATTAGAGAGCGAGGAAAATCAGGTCTGTCTGTGCCGCCCTTGCACAGCGCCTTCCTCTATTTGACGCTTCTGCAGTTATCCATTGAAGAAGAAGACAGAGAAGGAGCGAAAACGCGCGCATCTGAATTCACACTAACGGCGATGCCGCGCTGTATTGGCGGCTTCATCTCCACAGCAGGTCCGCCATCAGGGAATACAAGAGACGAAATGTGAGGTAAAAGAAAAAACTGGTATATCAACAAAAGAAGGCCCTCAAAAAATATATATAATAATAACGGAGAATCAACCTTCGCCGTTCGAGCTTCCGCTGTGGCGCTGTCATGCGGAAAAAAATCTTCGCGACGCCAACCATCTAAGCGACTTTATAGGCTCACACCTCACTAGCAGAGCAACAGCGTGTGTTCGTCTACGGCAGTCCGATGTCTGCACCACCGTCGCCACAGTTGCAGCGCTCCGGAGTCGCTTGCACAGTTACAACGGAAAACGTTGTCCTTTTTAATATTCTTATTTGGCCGTCTCACACGCTGCGAGGGAGCGCTGTACAACAGCGGAGATGGCAGACGCGCGTGTAGAGGCAGCCCATTTCCTCCGTGGAAAACACGTAGGAAACGCTTCGTTAGTGAATGGAAAAGCGTGCATTATCGAATTATAATTGTCTTCAAAACAAGAAAGCAAAGGTATCAACGGATGTACACGAATTGTGCGGTTTAAATGCGGCTTCCCCCCGTAGGCGTCCCCTCGGCTCCTTCCTCCATCTCCATAGAGAAGCGAGAGTATGAACACCGACAGAGCGTGAAACATGCAAAGGTGTATGCAAAGACAAAGAAACAGAAGAAAGGTCTCCTCCTGCGTGAATCGCCAACTGATACAACGTGACTTCCTACGCATTGCCGAGACGTCAACACGCGCGCTCAGGCCCACAGCAAATGAAGGCAACCATCCACCTTGAGAACGACGATAGACACCAGAGGCGGCGAATCCTGCACGCACGCACCACCTCCCTCTTCACCTAGTCACACTTACAGCTCTGCACGGTACGCATACGTCTGCTTGAAGCGCTGCTGAAGCCAATCGCCGGCCTTCACGTCGGGGAAGAGGGCGGGGTGCTGCTCGTCGAAGCAGTTCGGCAGGCACGAAATCACAGTCTCGGGGTTCGGCTCGCAGAAGAACGGCATCGAGATGCGCTCCACACCGGGGTTCACAACGCGGTGCAGCGTGCTCTTGTAGCGCCCGTTGCTCCACATCGACATCATATCGCCGATGTTCACCACGTAGCTGCCCTCGATCGGCGGCGCATCCATCCACTCGCCGCTCAGGTTCTGTACCTGCAGACCGCCGGCCTTGTCCTGGTACAGCAGCGTCACGATGCCGTAGTCCGTGTGCGCGCCGCACACCACGCGGCCCTTCTCGTCCGGCAGCGCAGGGTAGCGGATCATGCGGAAGCCACTCAACGGTTCAGTAAACTTGTCCTGAAAGAAGCCCTCATCGATGCCGATCGCCAGAGCAAGCGCACGCAGCAGCTGCAACGCCATCTTCTGCATGTCCGCGTAGTGCTGCTCCATCAGCTCCGTCCAGCCCTCAATCGAGGTCGGGTGGTTGTTGGGGCCGCGGAGAGGCTGGCCGGCCACCACGGAGGGGTGGTCCAGCGGCAGGTGGCAACCCATGTCGAAGGTCTCCTTCCAGTCGCCCGGCTTGCTGGGGTCCAGCTGCTCCGCCGTGTACGAGCCGTAGCCACGGTGATGGGCGGTCTCCTCGATATTGATCTTCATCTTCTCTTCTTCCGGCAGGGCGAAGAACCTGTCCGCCATCTCCGTCAGCTTCGCGACACGCTCCTTGGGGATGCCGTGGCCGGTGATGTAGAAGAAGCCCCACGTGCGGCACGCGTCGTCGATGGCGTGGGCAACGCGCAGCAAGTCATCCTTGTTGTCGTTGTACAGCGGCGAGATGTCGATGACGGGGAGAGACATCGTGGGACAGCGGAGGTGCGGTGAGAAATGGAGAAGTCGCAGAGGCGAAGGCGGTGGGCGGCAGCACGAGTGAGAGCGAGAGCGCGGTGGAGCGGCGGGGCAGGACGAGTTAGTCGTGGCTTTTCGCCGTTGTTGGTTGGTTGCGTGGACGGCGGTGGAGGTCGCATTGCGAGAGGAAAGCAGAGGGGGAGGGGAAAGACGGCACGAATTGGAAAGGCGCAGTGGAAACGCATCTTCGCAGCGAGCGAGGCACGGCTTCGGCACGCGGGCCGCAAGAGAGCCCGCCACCACCCGCGCTGCGCCTCGCCTCTCCTTGGGGGCACAGCCTGACGAGGCAAGGACAGGGAGAGAAGACGCGCAGCAGGCGGGCTTCGTCCACGTGTACCGGAGAGCCGATGGTGCCGCCGGCACTGCCCGTTTTGAGCGAGCACCCTTCCGCCGGCTCCGCCGCGTGCAGCGCACGGCATCCGTTGATTTGAGTCACCACACAAAAGAGAAACAATGGAGAGAGAGAGAGAGAGAGAGCGGCGTTCAAGGAAGAAGGCGCTCCTCGGAAGGAAACGGTGGCGTAAACAGCCGCTCCTCTTCACCTCAAGTGCGGCGAGCGAGAATAAAACTAATAAAACAAACGAAAACGAAAACAAAACAAACGACGCCACTGTGCTCAACGTGTTTCCACCGACCTGGAGAAACGTGCGCTTCAAGGAAACGAGACAAGCATTGCGAAGAGAATCGAACTCAAGACCGTCACTCGCAATCGCTCAGAAACCGTTACCGTCCACATCGACAGAAAATTTATTATAATACTAAAGAAGAGAAAAGAAAAAGAAAAAGAAATCGCGGTCAACTGCGATAAATGTGTCGACGAAAACAAGGACGTAATACGTGGTAGCCCCTCGAATAAACGCTAGAAGAATAAACTGCGTCTCGTAGGAAATCCACGCAGAAGAAAACGCCTCCAAATCGATTTAACCAAACAATAATAATATTAATAAGAGCGAGGTTAATCAGAGTCTTCGCTGTCACACCTGTAGTGGAAGAGAAGGTTTCTTTACCTTATGTATACGTTTTGATGTCGTGCGAGGGGGTCACATGTGCCGCATTTGGTGTCCCGCCCAACCGGGAACGCAAAACAAAAATGCGGTGGCTGGAAGGATACGCGTACTAGCGACACATGATCACTTCACACGAAAATTCATTATTATCACTCGTCACCACCGTCACAGCGTTGGACACAGTATATCAACACGTCCCTTCTCAATGGCGGATGCCGCATCGCTGAACAGGTGTGCGTGTGCCACGACCCTCACAAGCCCTTCTCCTTCAGCGGGGATTCGAAGCAGTTGAAGGCAGGGTGCCAACGCTGAGCCTCGCACAGACGCACCTTCAGACTGAAAGCGCGGAGCGAGAGGTGGGGAAGATACAGATCCTTAAGCTTTCGCGGTCGGCTTCTCCAGGTTGTCTTTCCGCGTACGGAAGGCGTACGTTTCCTTGAAGCACTTATCCATCCAGTCAACGGCCTTCACGTCGGGGAAGAGGGCGGGGTGCTGCTCGTCGAAGCAGTTCGGCAGGCACGAAATCACGGTCTCGGGGTTCGGCTCGCAGAAGAACGGCATCGAGATGCGCTCCACGCCGACGTTCACAACGCGGTGCGGCGTGCTCTTGTAGCGCCCGTTGCTCCACATCGACATCATATCGGCAATGTTCACCACGTAGCTGCCCTCGATCGGCGGCGCATCCATCCACTCGCCGCTCAGGTTCTGTACCTGCAGACCGCCGGCCTTGTCCTGGTACAGCAGCGTCACGATGCCGTAGTCCGTGTGCGCGCCGCACACCACGCGGCCCTTCTCGTCCGGCAGCGCAGGGTAGCGGATCATGCGGAAGCCACTCAACGGTTCAGTAAACTTGTCCTGAAAGAAGCCCTCATCGATGCCGATCGCCAGAGCAAGCGCACGCAGCAGCTGCAACGCCATCTTCTGCATGTCCGCGTAGTGCTGCTCCATCAGCTCCGTCCAGCCCTCAATCGAGGTCGGGTGGTTGTTGGGGCCGCGGAGAGGCTGGCCGGCCACCACGGAGGGGTGGTCCAGCGGCAGGTGGCAACCCATGTCGAAGGTCTCCTTCCAGTCGCCCGGCTTGCTGGGGTCCAGCTGCTCCGCCGTGTACGAGCCGTAGCCACGGTGATGGGCGGTCTCCTCGATATTGATCTTCATCTTCTCTTCTTCCGGCAGGGCGAAGAACCTGTCCGCCATCTCCGTCAGCTTCGCGACACGCTCCTTGGGGATGCCGTGGCCGGTGATGTAGAAGAAGCCCCACGTGCGGCACGCGTCGTCGATGGCGTGGGCAACGCGCAGCAAGTCATCCTTGTTGTCGTTGTACAGCGGCGAGATGTCGATGACGGGGAGAGACATCGTGGGACAGCGGAGGTGCGGTGAGAAATGGAGAAGTCGCAGAGGCGAAGGCGGTGGGCGGCAGCACGAGTGAGAGCGAGAGCGCGGTGGAGCGGCGGGGCAGGACGAGTTAGTCGTGGCTTTTCGCCGTTGTTGGTTGGTTGCGTGGACGGCGGTGGAGGTCGCATTGCGAGAGGAAAGCAGAGGGGGAGGGGAAAGACGGCACGAATTGGAAAGGCGCAGTGGAAACGCATCTTCGCAGCGAGCGAGGCACGGCTTCGGCACGCGGGCCGCAAGAGAGCCCGCCACCACCCGCGCTGCGCCTCGCCTCTCCTTGGGGGCACAGCCTGACGAGGCAAGGACAGGGAGAGAAGACGCGCAGCAGGCGGGCTTCGTCCACGTGTACCGGAGAGCCGATGGTGCCGCCGGCACTGCCCGTTTTGAGCGAGCACCCTTCCGCCGGCTCCGCCGCGTGCAGCGCACGGCATCCGTTGATTTGAGTCACCACACAAAAGAGAAACAATGGAGAGAGAGAGAGAGAGAGAGCGGCGTTCAAGGAAGAAGGCGCTCCTCGGAAGGAAACGGTGGCGTAAACAGCCGCTCCTCTTCACCTCAAGTGCGGCGAGCGAGAATAAAACTAATAAAACAAACGAAAACGAAAACAAAACAAACGACGCCACTGTGCTCAACGTGTTTCCACCGACCTGGAGAAACGTGCGCTTCAAGGAAACGAGACAAGCATTGCGAAGAGAATCGAACTCAAGACCGTCACTCGCAATCGCTCAGAAACCGTTACCGTCCACATCGACAGAAAATTTATTATAATACTAAAGAAGAGAAAAGAAAAAGAAAAAGAAATCGCGGTCAACTGCGATAAATGTGTCGACGAAAACAAGGACGTAATACGTGGTAGCACCTTCACATACATAAAGGAAAAAGAAACAAAAATACGCCTCTCGCGCAGAATCGGTTTAAAAGAACTGGTGAGAGCGGTAGAAATAAAAGACGCTCAACAAGACATCACCGCTGCACTCGTCGTAGAACAAGAGAGGTCATTTCATAAAATATATTATTTTTGGTGTCACGCGAGAGTGCCATGTGCCGCATTTGGTGTCCCGCCCAACCGGGAAGGCAAAACAAAGGCACAAAGGCTCATTTCATAGGAATAATAGCGAAGAAATTGAACTTATAGGAAAGCACTATTATCACTCGTCACCACCGTCACAGCGTTGGACACAGTATATCAACACGTCCCTTCTCAATGGCGGATGCCGCATCGCTGAACAGGTGTGCGTGTGCCACGACCCTCACAAGCCCTTCTCCTTCAGCGGGGATTCGAAGCAGTTGAAGGCAGGGTGCCAACGCTGCGCCTCGCACAGACGCACCTTCAGACTGAAAGCGCGGAGCGAGAGGTGGGGAAGATAGAGATCCTTAAGCTTTCGCGGTCCACGTCTTCTACATCTCCGCACGGTACGCATACGTCCGCTTGAAGCGCTGCTGAAGCCAATCGCCGGCCTTCACGTCGGGGAAGAGGGCGGGGTGCTGCTCGTCGAAGCAGTTCGGCAGGCACGAAATCACAGTCTCGGGGTTCGGCTCGCAGAAGAACGGCATCGAGATGCGCTCCACACCGGGGTTCACAACGCGGTGCAGCGTGCTCTTGTAGCGCCCGTTGCTCCACATCGACATCATATCGCCGATGTTCACCACGTAGCTGCCCTCGATCGGCGGCGCATCCATCCACTCGCCGCTCAGGTTCTGTACCTGCAGACCGCCGGCCTTGTCCTGGTACAGCAGCGTCACGATGCCGTAGTCCGTGTGCGCGCCGCACACCACGCGGCCCTTCTCGTCCGGCAGCGCAGGGTAGCGGATCATGCGGAACACGCTGAGCGGCTCGTGGAACTTCGATACGAAGAAGCCCTCATCGATGCCGATCGCCAGAGCAAGCGCACGCAGCAGCTGCAACGCCATCTTCTGCATGTCCGCGTAGTGCTGCTCCATCAGCTCCGTCCAGCCCTCAATCGAGGTCGGGTGGTTGTTGGGGCCGCGGAGAGGCTGGCCGGCCACCACGGAGGGGTGGTCCAGCGGCAGGTGGCAACCCATGTCGAAGGTCTCCTTCCAGTCGCCCGGCTTGCTGGGGTCCAGCTGCTCCGCCGCGTACGTACCGTAGCCACGGTGGTTCGTCGTCTTCGAAATGTCGATCTTCAACTTCTCTTCTTCCGGCAGGGCGAAGAACCTGTCCGCCATCTCCGTCAGCTTCGCGACACGCTCCTTGGGGATGCCGTGGCCGGTGATGTAGAAGAAGCCCCACGTGCGGCACGCGTCGTCGATGGCGTGGGCAACGCGCAGCAAGTCATCCTTGTTGTCGTTGTACAGCGGCGAGATGTCGATGACGGGGAGAGACATCGTGGGACAGCGGAGGTGCGGTGAGAAATGTAAAAAAGAATATAACGGGTAGCAAGTTGAGTTCTCCGAGCGATGCTGTACTATCAAAACGAAGAAGGGAGGATTGACGCGTTGATGGCGGCACGGTTCGAGCCGACTATGAAAGGAAGTAGACTCGGTTGAAGGAGAATGTTGAAGAGTACGCGATAAAACCCCTTAGGTGAGAGAGAGAGAGAACGGAGACGCCTGCAACGAGTTTATCGCGATGATAGATGGAGCGAACATGGAACGCACTGGAGGCCTCCAAGATGCTTCCCCACCACCACCATCACCAGCACAAAAGAAAGGATGAGTGGTGTTAGTCCGGGTGCGATAAGCGGTGACGGACGCAGTGCTCAGTAGCCGCTGTTAGAGAGACTCGAGAGAACGTTTTTCTTCTTTTTTTAACGGCTACTTCAAAGATGGTGAAGTTGTTGTCAGTAGTTACGATTTCGTTTTGTGGTTATTGCTTCATTCCCTTTGTAAAGCAATAGCGGAGAGTGGCCTCCTGTACGCGACGGTCCTTCGCCGATCCGTGGATCGGTCATAACACCCGCAGTGTCTAGGGTGCTCTTACCTCATCTCAGCCGCCTGGACATCGCCACCATGCACTCCTGCGCCGCACGTTCTTCCTGTTGCCAGTCACACGGATCATCCGTAGAATCGCCGCTGCTATTCCCGTAGTGCGGCAGGAGGCGTCGAAACCCACACGGCACCTCCGCTCCGTGCAGCAGCGCCTCCTCCGCCTTATCCATCTCGCTTGCGCTGCTGCTCTCCTGGCAGGTGTACGAGGCGTACGCTCTTCTATTGCCCTCGTGTGCCTCCCACGGAGGCAAGTGTGCTTCGAGCACGCGGAACGTGTCACGCAGCACCGCACTCTTCACCGCAAAATCAAAAGCCGTGTCGCAGAACAGCGAAGGAGAGTGATTTACCTCCATCAGCACCGGCTCCAGCGCAGCCTCGCGCAACATCACATCAAAGCCGAGAAGCTCAAAGCAGCCTCTGCCGTCAGCGCGCTCGCCACGGGCACCACCCGCGCTAATCAGCTCACGACGCAGCGCCTCCACGCCGGAGAGAACTGTCAAGGTGATGCACTCGTCAATGCGACGCTGCACACGAGCCCACCCACCAGAAGTGTGAAGGCCGTCGATGTACGCCGACAGCGCCGCAAGACTTCGTTTGTTGCTCGCTGCGGCGTCTTCGACGGCACTCCTCGCACGTGCTCCTTCCATGTCTCCTGCCGGCATGCCGGCAGGCGTAAACAGATCCGATTTTCTGTTGACTGCATAGTTGGTTAAGTGCTTCAGCGCATTCGTGCAGTTCGCTTCTGTCGGCGTGGCGTACGGCTCGGCGCAGATACGCACCAGGCCTTCGCGGTGTACGTACAGCCGTACCCCTTCCACGCCCGGCGGCACCTCCGTGAAACTTGGCGTGACCGCCGCCGTCGTTGCTGCGCTGGATTCCGCACGCAGACCGCCAGAGACTTGCTCGCGCCGAATTGGCTTGCGTGGTTGCTGCGCAGGCGTCACCGACACCAACAGCACGTACAATCGAAGGTCGAACTTCTTGCCGTCCATGAGCAGCGGTCGGTCAATGTAGAGCTGAACGATGCATTCATGCTTTCTGTCTCGCTGCTCTGCCTCCGTGAGGTCGGAGAGGGGAGAGGTGGACAGCCGGATGCCTTTGCCCTCGCATCCAGTGTTGGGCTTAATGATAAAGAAAGGCCGGCGTTCACCCTCAGGTGCGGAGGAGAGCTGCCGTTGATAGGCCTCCAGACGGCCCAGGTCACCGATGCTGGAAAAACTCGGTGGGATCGAGTGCACGAAGTAACGGTAGAGCGGAAACCTAGCGGAAAAGGAATGGCCGTCCTGCGTGGCAAACTCCGATTTTAGTGCAAGACGGCACAGTTGCATGAGGCGGGAGAACAGCATCGCCTTGCGAGCGAGAGCGTTCATGGATGCAAAATGATTCAGCCGCTGATAGCATTCCAGCCCGGCAACACGTGCGCTTAGCACGCTTTTATCCGTCCAGATCACCTGCGGAGGGTGTGAAGCGACATCACCCGGGTCGGAATTCAGGGGAACATCATAGAACGACAAGGGCACCGCGGCTTCCGTGTCAACGTCGCTGACCACCCACCCTATCATTCGCGCAGCGGCACGCACGACGTGATATCGGGTGTGGCTGCAGTCGATGATCACACCTTTTGTTTCTTTACGCGTTGAACCGACAGAAGGCGACGCGGCCATGGGCCCAATTTGGGCCTGAAGCGACATATGAAACGACAATTATTCAGAGAAAAAGAAGGGGGAGTGGCAGTACCACGAAAAACATGTGGAGAGAGACGAGCGCCGCATATCAGGCAGACAAGGTTCGGCGCCTTTCAAGGCGTAACATGTGAATTACGAAGAGCGTTGCGGGTGCGCAGACAACGTTGGTGACGGACGCTGTCGTCACTAAGCAGAACGGAAACGAAGAAGGCGCAAAGAAACAGAGGAGCGAAAACTGTAAGAAGCATCGGTCTGCACCCGCACGAATGTTTGATAATCGGCAGCGCATTGCCACAAAACAAAATAACGGCCTTCGATGCAGTACTCCAAACCTCAGGCAGCAACGAATCCTGCGGCTAGCTAAGGTGTGAACTTGGGAAGCAACGTCAATGTCCCATTAGTCAGCCGGGATGTAGTCGTGCGCTAGCGGTGAAGCAGCCCACCTTGTTCGAATGAAACCGCAGTAAGTGCTCCCGCTTCTTTCATGATGTCATGGAGAAAAAAAAAGGAATGTTTCATCCTCATAATTGTCTTCTTCTTACAAGTACAATGTAAACCGAGGTTTGAGAGGGAGAGAAAAGATCTATCCGTGAGCTGTGTGGGTGTGCGTGCGTATACGCGCGCACGAGAAACACACTAGTTCGTGTATTGAGAGCAGCCACACTGCTTGCGCCGAGTATGGGTGCCTTCGCGTTGAATCAAATAAAGGGGTTTTTAATAAAGTCTACGGCACAATTACAACAACTAAAGGATCAGCTAAACAACGACATCTAAGAAAAGGAGGGGGAATGCAAATTTAGATTTATCTCTAATAACGGCTTCTCCACGCACACACACACACACACACACACACACACACACACAAGGTGCAGCGCTGAGGCGGCATGCAT